AGAAAAGCCACCATGGCTGAATCAAGACGTATATTAAGTGTACAAAGTATTGCCCCAGCCATTGGAACACCAAAATGCAGCTCACACATAGCTGGGATATTTGGAGCCAGAGCAGCAACCTGATCAAAAAGCACTGGATGATCGTAATTCAAAGCACAAAAAAGGTTTGATAATATGAACTGCATAGCATTAATTAACCAACAGCCTTTGAGGGATGCAGATAAATATAGATAGGTGAAAAATTTTTCAAATGCTCTGAGAATTTAGAGAAGAAACAGCATAACACCTTGAAGCAAACTTATATATCAGAAAAATTTCTGAGCTTATTGTTCAAAGAATCACTTGCTGGGCGCTAAAATCCTGCCGAGAGAGAGAGAAGCGAAAGGAGAGGGTTTCAGGTTACCCAAAACCTGCTCTTTGCAATCTTTAATTAATACAACCATGAATCCATGATAAGTGTGAAAAAGGTAGGTTAACTCTTAGTATGAGTTGAGAATCATAAGCCACTAAAACAATTAAAAAGAGTCCTGAAGAATCATAACAGTTTTCTCTTAAGTAAAGTCACATAAAAGAAAAAGAAATCCAATTTTGCCAGAAGCTACTTCATAAGTAAGGCTGCATCATTTCTTAAAAATTGTATATCCATGGGAAAATTCCATATTGAATATATAACAATTAAGAAGTATGTGAGTTAAAAGAGCATTACTCTAACTATTGCCAACCCAAACATATACTATGCCACTTGACAGTAACCTACCTTCATAACAAGCCCTGTATGTAAGGGCACCTTGAGTGAGAAAGTAGAAATTTTTTTAGCCTAACAAGATATATTGTATGAAATCCTACAAACCGAGTATAAGAATCTGCTATTTTCAAACAAGAAAAAGTCAAACTCTAATAACAAAAATGTAAATAGCAGCAGAAGACGAAAGAGTACTGTACCACATCTCCACGAGAAATCTGGAGTTGTGCAAGAGCAGAAGCGAGCTTGACGCACCTCTCGCGCGTCTCTTTCCAGGTGAACTTGACATCACCGTAGACGACGGAGACTCTGTCTCGGTAGACAAGGCCGGCACGATCCAGGAAGCTGATAGGAGTGAGAGGGACGTAATTGGCGGAGCACCTAACCGTTCCATCCGAGCGTGTATCATAAACACCGGCCAGATTGCAAAGCTCCGATGATAATTTGTCGTCCTGAATACAACCGCTCCGTGGGATCCCCAACTCCATTGCAAAATCGGCGGAGGTAGGCTGCTATACAGTTTCTGAGGGAAATAGAAATCCTCGTCATCAGATTTTAAGGCAGCCAAATGCGATTATTTCTTGGTTAACGTAACTAATCCAAAAGCAATATTGATAATAAAAGCTTCATTAGTGTCCGAAGTTTCAATGTCGTCCACGGAAATCGTTAAGAAATTAGTTAATGCTTTGGTCATCTCTAAGGCTTACCGGAAGTGCAAACCAAAAGCATTGATAAGAAAGACAGTTTCTTAGGTTTGAAAGACAGTTACAGTATGTTTACCTAACTGTTAAACATATTGTAACTGTAAGTATATGTTTGGGTGGAGTGAAATGGATTTGGAGGGAAAATCTTTTTAATTAATTAAA